CAAATAAATGTAAATGACATATTGACGTATTTAATTGCTTTAAATCTTTATATAACGATAATAATAATTGCTTCCATATTTGGTTAGGATCCAAATAAATCTTTGCGCATGAATATTTGGTAAATCATGTGAAACATTAAATCTCCTTCGCGTTTTATTATTATTATTGTTATTGTTATTTCATATTAATATTTCATAATTAGTTTGATGAATACAGTTTTATCAATATGATGAATTTATATGAATAATTATTTGTATATTTTTGAATACAAGATATAGTTGAATTTGAATGTTAGATATTATGAATACGATTGAATTCCATTAAAACCTTTTATGAATTCATTTATTTAAACCTTATCTTTGTTTATTCGAAATATGGTTAGTATGGGATTAATTAGATTTGTTGTTATTATTTTCACAACGTTAAATAACAATAAAAAAGAAATTAATAAAGAATAAAAATGATAAATAGATATTCAATAAAACCTAAATGTAGTATTGTACTTCCAATGTAAAATTTTAAGCGCGGCTCAAATAAACCAAATAAAATCATTGTGATAATAAATACCGGATACTGTAATAACAAAGATTTCTGAATCTCCGGTAATATAATACTAAAGAATAATCGCTTTATTTTTTAATTTAATTTAATTTATTAAAAAAAGGAAATTATAAATTATTTAATCATCCGATTATTATGATAATTATTGTGTTCAAAATATTACAAATCAACGATCATTTTCACCTGTCCATTCACCTTATACATTCTTTCAACACTCTTTCAACGCTTTTTTTACCATCTTTATAAGTTTAAATACATTCCTTAAATGGTTTCTTTAAATGATGATAAAGGCTCTTTTAGTCTTTTCCGTTTATCAGAACACAAAAAAAAATCATTATTCAATTATGTATGTAAATAGGTTAGTTTATGAGAAAGGAGATGAATTTATTATTTTGCACAAGATTTAAAATTGATGGTCATTCATAAAATTTTTTTTTTGGACGTGCACAGTTTTATGATGTAACCAAATTTATCTTTAATAGTTATCTGATAACTTTTCAACCAACGGAGTCTTGCTCCAATGTTTATTTTATTGATTATCTAATAGCTATCAATTATCCACCAATAAAATTATAATGTTCTTTTTTCGTTATTATTAATATTCCATTCCTATTATTATTAACATTACTATTAAAGAAAATAAAAATACTTTCAAAAAGAATTTAATAAGAGAATTTTTAATTTTATTTCTATTATTATTATTGTTATTAGAAGTTTTTACATTATTTTTATTTTGTAATTATTATTTCATTAAAGATGCTTATTAAATAACAAAGATGATAAAATATCGTTGTTAGACTATTTTTAATAATTTTTAATTTTAAAAATAATAATAGTTATTTTCCGCGGAATGGATTTTTTTTGTACAATGAATTTATTACACAAGAAAATAAAAATAAAAAAAATAAAAATAAAAATAAAAATAAAAATAAAAATAAAAAATAAAAATAAAAATAAAAGATAAAAATAAAATATTAGAACACAATAAATCTATTTTATAAATTAATTGTTACTTAAAATAAGCTCTTTTTTTTTTTTGCATGGTTTGTTATCTGCTATGTCTTGATTTTCTATATTAGTCAAAATCTTCAATTCAGTGATTAATATCTAAATGTTTATTATTATTTCTTTCTTGGTATGAATCTTAAACTATCTTTACATGTTAATTAATTTTTTAGTGTATTAGGTAGAGCATTTTATTGCAATCAATTACAAAAGAGGAAAAACGCATTAAATATATTACTCATGAGCTGAACCTTTTAAGGCTTGGCTCGAGCCCAAAACCCGCGAGCCTGGTAATGGGCTCGCAAGTCTTCTGACGGATATAACTCAAGGAATATTTAAGATAGAAAAATGATTTAATTGTCAATGTGAAGCTTTAAATGAGAAATTTTAAAATGATACTAGATATATAATAGCAGAAAACCGATCTCTGTTGCGTTAAATTGAAAAAAAATTAATTAATTATGAATATCGTGTTGAATGTTCTTATTTCAAATATTCTTCTAGTGGTACTAAGTAGAAAATCATTCCCCGTTGCGTAAAATCGAAGTAAAAAATATAGGTTTGACAAGTCGGGGTTATGATGTCTAAAATGCGCAAATAAGAAATTATGTAATTTTGCCCAAGGATCGGAACTGGCTCTAAAAAAGCAATGAAATAACAAAATACTCGACTCAAGTTACCAGAGTTACTCAGTGGTCAAGTACCATATTATGTATTATAAGGGAGGACCCTTATCCTGTATGTTATATAATAAGAGAACGCACATACCTTCTCGCCACTTTACGTCATAATGCCTTACTTTAATATATTCTTTAATGTAAAAAAAATTGCCTAAAATCATAAAAATCAACATTGTCACGATTTTTTTGTATAGATATCCTCGACATCATATTCATTTTAAAGAATTGATATTTGTTAATATTCAAATAAATTTTAAGTAAAATTTTCTAATTACTATATTTTATACAAATTAATATAATTATGGTCATATGACATCTTTGAAAAAAAAACTGACTTAATGGCATATTTTATTATATCACATAAGTGATATCTGAGAAAATATATTGTTCCACAGAAACAATCTAAAAAAAATAATTTACTAAGTTCCAAACTTAACTACTTAATAATTAATTTATTAAATATAATTATTAAAAATATTATTTTATCATCATAATATATGTATTTATACTCTATATCCATGTATTAACTCTAATAAAACCTATAATTATAATATAGAACTTAAAACATGAAAATTTATTACTTAATAGGTTTGAAAATAAATTAATTAATAATCTAAGTGTTAAAATCTTCAAAATCTATATATTATAAATCCAGAAAGAACTTCTATTTCATATAAATATCTAAAAAATATATATTTATTTTCTATTATTTCTATTACAATTTATAAAAAAGAATAAGCAATTTTTAATGATGTCATGAAGAAACATGAAAAAAAAATTAGACCTTATGATCAATACTACTTAATTATTTTATTTTATTACAACCTAATGAAAATTCAATTTTTATGTAACAAAATCAAAGGGAGCCAAATCAGACTTAAAATCTATATTTATTTATACATTTATTTATTTTTTTTTTTGAAATATATCTTTTTATTGTTTGTAAATATTGATATAGATCTTTTAACTATTAATAAATATTTATCTATATTTACCAGTATCATTTCAGTTTTTTATAAATAATATCCTCTTCACAACTCAAATCTTTCAACACTTCCACTGAACAACCTTCTAAATACATTTATGTATAAGTTTCCAGCCCTAGACAACGGAGTGACTTCGAACAATGGATGCAATACCTTAAACGACTTTACCCTTCCCACCTCATCCTTACAGATGCAAATGACGTTAACTGAAAGAGGCTTGGCCTTAAGACCTTACTGGAGTGATTCTATCACAGCTCACAGGTCAAATACATACCGAAAAGAAATAAATATGACAGTTGATTTTATTATTAGGAATCCTGATTTATAATTAGGAATTCTGATTTTTAACTAATTCATGATTAAGAATTCTGATTCGTGCTAACGATTTTTTTTTGTATTCAACCAGTGGTAATTGGAAAGGCATATACAAGTAAACCATATAGTTACTATAGATAAAATTTGAAGGGAAGTGCGGGAATGCAGTTTATGTATGGATAAAGATATAAATGACATTTGTGGAATTTTTCTCAAGCTTTGCTATCCTTTTATAGGATACAATTTTAATTTTGGAAATATCACGTGATTAAGTTACTGTTCATAAAAGAGTGACCTTATCTTAGACTTCCGGTTCAGGTATTATTCTAATTCCCATTTTTTGAAGATAATTGGATCTTTGTTGTGACATACATATCTTTATCAAAGATAGATCTCTTTTAAGGCAAACCGATATAAAGTTCAAAAAAAAAAATTATAATAAATAAAAAAATATTTTATTAATGAAAACTTTATTTTAATTATGTTCTAAAAATATATTGATAAATTTTTGGACATTCTATTATGTATTATGTATTTGAAATTTAAATATTCAAAATCTGTTAAATAATTAATGAGTAGTATTCTCGAGTAAAATATCTATCTTTCAATGTACTTGTAAGCTACCTTCACGAAAATAAATATTTAAATGATTGAATACTTACTAAACAAACGTACTTAGTCGTTCAAAAGAAGTTTGCTTTGATCAAAATGTTAAAATAACTTAATGAAATTATAAAAACATTAAAAAAATTCGTGGGTGCAAACTTTTTACAAAAATGGATATATTTCTTTATATTTGTAAGCTAGCATTGTGAAAATTAATATTTGAGCGCTTTAACACTATTCGAATAACTTTGTTTAGTGACTTGAAGGTTTACTTTGGAAAAAGGATTAAATTACGTCACAAAGTTCTAAAAGTGATAAAAATTCATGAGTATGAAAAATAATTATCTTTTGATCAATTCGCAAGCTGATAGTCTTGAACAACTTTACTTATTGACTTGAAGATGATTTACTTTGACTAAAGTACCAAATTATTACACAAAGTTTTATTTTAGACGTACATAAAAATAATTATCTCATTTTCAAAGTATTTGCAGGATAGCTGAGCGAAAATGATAATGATATTAAGAAATTTGATACCTACTTAATGACTTGATTTAGTTATTTAGTTGCTTAAAGATATTTTTCTTTAACCAAAGTACTGAAGACATGTTGAAAAATCTCAAATATAAAAGTTTCTTATTATAATTTTATTAAAATTTGTATTATGTTCTCGTGGTATTATTATGCCTTAATATTATTAATCATTATTATCTATCATGTTATAATTTTCTATCAAGATAGATTTAACTAGAAAAGCACAACACACATTAACCAGATGCGTGGATAAATTAATCGATTAACGCAGGATTCAAGTTTTTCTTATTATCTCTGAAATATCATTTTTTTTTACTTAAGTAATGTGGCGAAATCAGCACACCAATAACCATTCTTATAACCAACACCTAAATTTTTAAAACTTTTATTTAAAATGTTTTGACGATGACCGGGTGAACGCATCCAACTGTAAATTAAAAAAAAATGTCATTAATAATAAAATTATAATAATATAATAATAATGATAATAAATAATTTATACTTACGCTTGCACAACTTTAGATTCTGCATTAGAACTAAATCCTGAAGCAAGATTTTCACCAGCAGTTGACCAAGTATATTTAAATCTTAGAAGTCTAGTACCAATAGGACCAGCAGGATTACTATGTGTAAGTTTATTAAATCTAGCGCAGTAATTAACTTGAAATTGGGCAGCTTTCGAAAGAGCACTACAGTATTATTATTATTATTATTATTATTATTATTATTGAATTTATTGTATTATTGATGAGTTGAGTGATAAAGTCAATAATGATATCGACGATATATATAAAGATAAAATTAAAATACTTACCCATGTAAAGTTAAAGGTCGTAATCTTTGTTTAGAACGCTCTTTATTTATCAATTTTAATACGGTAGTAGGATTAAAAGCATCAGCTCCAATTATTATCATTCCCATTTCCATAAATACAGAAATGCAAATAAGAATGACGATAAATCTTGTAAAGAATGTAAATTTCATTGTTTTAATAGTAATATTAGTAAATATTGAATATATCGAATATGGCAGAATATGATATATACGTGAGGATAGGATATAATAGAATAGAATATATATATATATATATATATATATAATTTGTTCAAAGGAATGATGTTAAAAACGGTAAAGACGATAATAATGAAAGGGGATGAAAGTGAAATGAATTATTTAAGCCCACTTTATATTTTGAATGCACTATGTAAGTATATAATTATTCATGTGTTACAATTAAAACAGTAATATAATTTTAATAGAATCGTACTGAATAATTGGATCCTTAAGAACCGTTCTGCTTGTCGTTTGTTTACCAAAATAACACCAATATCGTGCATTGACACAAGGATCGCCTTTACTAATAACGTACTTGAAACATTTCTCCATATGTAGTATACAGATTATGCACTTATTATTTCAAATAATTAATTTCAAATACTAAAAACGGTCACTAATTAATTGTCGTAAATTAATAATTTAGTTATTTAATTTGTTATTCGATTTTAGTTAAATCAATTCAATTAAGTCAAGAAATAATGGACTTCTATACGATTTGGATATTTATTATTTGTTATCACATGCATTATAAGACGGCTTTACTATTTCTGTCATTACTAAAAATTTTTATTTTTTATTTCAAAATAATATTATCACGTGTATATTTACAAAATACATTTTCTACGTGAGAATAAAAATAAAAATTGAATCAAAAAATTTCACTATTTATTTATTTATTTATTTATTGTTGTTTTTTAATATTGTTAATACTATTATCTAGTAAGAAAAAATTAAAATTACTATATATTGTTATTATATATATATACTATATATATATAAAAATAAAGAAAATAAGCCCAGCTTAATGTATATAAAAATAAAGAAAATAAGCCCTGCTCAATAATATATATACATATTTATTACATTTTAAGCTGAAGTAGGACATCCACTAGCCCTTGTTTTGGTTTTGACTCTAATAACCTTCTTGGTAGAATTCCTATTCCTGTTATAAGTATGAGTATGCCTCCTAGTAGATTGCCTAACGGTGACAGTAGTAAACCTACTAGTAACAGTTGTGGGTTTTGTGGTGGTGGTGGTGGCAGCGTTTGCGGTAGTGGAAGATCTACTACTGGTGGTGGTGGTGGCAGCGTTTGCAGTAGTGGAAGGTCTACTACTGGTGGTGGAAGATCTGCTAGTGGTTGAGGTGGTGGCAGGTCTACTGGTGGTGGTGGAAGATCTACTAGTGGTGGCAGAGTTTGAGGTGGTGGCAGGTCTACTGGTGGTGGTGGAAGATCTACTGGTGGTGGCAGAGTTTGAGGTGGTGGCAGGAGGATTGGAACCGGAAGGTGGTACAGCAGGTCCATTATCAAGCAATGCCCCAAAATCTTGACCCCAAGTAGTTTGTGAGGAATAGACTCCCATATGTTTAAATTTTCCATTCATAATATTTGCTCGATGTCCCGCTGAAGTCATCCACCTTTTAAAATGAAATAAATAAATAAAATAAAAAATTAATAAAAGAAATTATTAATTATTGTTATTATTCTTATTATTAAGATAGTTAAAAACTTACGCATTCATAACTGCTTCTTCGGTACTGAATCCAGAAGCAAGATTTTCACCACAAGTTGACCAACGATAACCTTGAGCTGTAATTCTATCACCAAGAGGACCCGCCTGTGGATTATCATGTGTAAGTGAATTTGTACTAACACAATAATCAACTTGTACTTTAATGGCCTTATTGAGACGTCTAAATGTAAAATATAGACAAAATAAATTCGATAAATACGAAAATAGTAAAATCACTAAATAAATTATGACAATAATAATAATAATAAAACTTACGCATCCAATTCAACCGGTTGAAGACCTGCTTTAGAACGTTCAGCATTTACCAAATCACGTATTTTTTCGGCGCTCCAGGCGTTTACCGCCATAAATAGGGAAGCACAGATGTAAAATAATAAAAGATATTTCATTGTTGTTGCAACCATTTTTGAATTTTTTTTAAAAAAATGATGAAATGTGAGAGAAATGTGAAAAAATGTAATATGTGAGAAATGTGAAATGTGAAATATGCAAACTTTATTCAAAAAGTTTATTATTTAAAAATAAGTTTTGTTATTTTTTAATTTTTTTTTTTGATATAAAATATCTATGCAATCTTTTCGAAAAAAAAAAAATAATAATAGTCTATCAAAGACTAATTAAATAATAATAATAAATTTTTCGAAAAGATCTTTTTAATTTAAATTACAGGAAAGAATCGAAAGAAAAAAAATGGTTGTGAAGAAAATTCGTCGAAGGCATTCTTTGAGGCTTTTTATACATTTTAATTACTAGAAAATGAATTCCATAATATTTTATTTTATTTGTATTATTTAATTAAAATCTAATATAAATATTTTATTACAATTTATTTATCTCATTATTGTTTTTTTTACTTGTTTCCCAATATATATAAATTGAATTAAATGTATTATATTAATATTATTGTTAAATCCCATTTATGTGTTTCTCTTGTTTTGTATTACGTGTATCTTCTTCTGTATCTATTTATGTACATCTGCGTCATCTTCTGTATCTTATATGCTTCCTGTGTAGATATAGTCTTCCCGTCGATTTGTCTGATTTTTCTGTAATCGTTATTGTTATTATTTATTTATTTATTCATTGCATACTAGTAATTTTCCACGTTTTACAAACAATAATAATTTTATGAAACATTTTGTTTACTCTCACATAAATACACTTTTCTAGAAGATGTACAAAATATAAAATTGGCCAATAAAAGGTTTTTAAAAAAAATATGATACATTTATACATTCTCCTGCTTTGTTTTGTTTCTTCTTTTTTGGCAAAAAAAAAAAAAAAAAAAAAATTAAATTGAATTATTATAATTATTAGTAACTAAATTATTTTAACATGTAATGTGTTTATCATCTGCGAAATTTCTCTTTTAATTTTTTCTTTTTCTCTCTCTTTTGAAGAATAACGATTCATGATTTAATTATACCTAATGACATTCTCCTAAATAATTAAATATCTTCAGAAAAATACAAATAAGAAAATGCATCTGCCAGTCAAGGGAGTCATAAGTCAACAGCAATAGTGTCAATTAAAAAAAATATTATAATAAGTTCAAATCTAATCTAAATGATTAGATATTAAAATGAAGATATAGAACAAAAAACTAAAAACTAAAATATAAAGAGATTTCAATGAGATTTCTAGAAAATTATAAAAATATGTATGTGTATTGACTTATATGATGAATTACATACAATAAATATAAATATAACAACATATGTACATGTTATAACATGAGACAACTTAGGAGTCATGATAAATTCTGTTTATGTATTATGAAAGACCAATGAATACTGCTGTTCCCATATTATTTTAAAAAAAAGAATTATTGTTCTAAAGCTGGATCTTACTTTTGGCGACGGAGGTTCTTTGTTCTTAATACTTAAAATGATTCATCTAATAAGGGATCTACTTTTTTGTGAATGAATTGAATAAGAGCGTAATCATATTTCTTGAATTCGAAAAAATTAAAAATTAAATTTTGTGAATCGTTCTTAAACATTTTAACTCCTCCACTTATACACCACATACAATAATAATATAATAAGGAATAAACAGTTGTATATTTACGAAACACAAGATACACGACAAACAAATAAAACAAATTTCTTACTAAATTCTCACGTGATTGTATGATTCTGAAACTATCTTTGCAAAGAAAAAAATGGATGCATCATTCCGGGAGGATCCAGATGTCATTAATTATTTATGTATAAGCATATATTGCATTTAATAAAATCAATCTGGGTTCGGTTCCCCTACGTTTAATATAATAAAAAATAATAATAAAAAAATAAAAAATAATAATAATAATAATAATAATTAATAATTAATAATGTATTATATATGACAGTAAAAACGAGTAGATTCGCTGATTTTTATTCGAGACTATTAATTAAAAATATAAATAAATCGAAATTGCATTTACATATGTAGTTATAAAGCTAGTAGAAAAAAGAAAAAAAAAGAAATTAAAGTTGCAGTATTGTGTAACAGTAAATAAATAGTATTACATAATGTAATAACCTATTTTACCGTTTCATTATTTTCTACAAAAAAGTAACCAAAGAAATAATTTTATTAATGAAAAACGTGTAACAAAAGAATTTTATCATTATAATTTTAAGAGAGAAAATTTATTAAATTATTAAAATTACATTAAAATTACATTTACAGTACATTTACAGTACATAACAAGGTTGATAAATGTTTTAAAAGTAATATAAAATTAAATTAAAATTTATTATCGTAAAAAAAAATAAGCCACTATATATATATATTTTGTCATTTTTATTATGCATAATAAAATTTTTAATAAAAATTCAACGAAAGAATTCTGAAATATGTATTATCATTATTATTCGTGAGAAAATTTATTAAATTTATTAAATTATTAAAATTATATTTACTAACAAGGTTAGTAAATGTTTTAAAAAGTAATATAAAATTAAATTAAATTTAAATTAAAATTTATTATCGGAAAAATAAATAAGCTATTAAATATTTTAACATTTTTATTATGTACTGTATAAATAAAATTTTCAATAAAAATTGGCAAGTAAATTTAAATAAATTTACGGGGTAAAGTTTAATAATTAATTATCTTTTATTGGTACGTTAACAAAAGCTGTATAAAAATGTACTCTTATCAGTTATTAATTTTGTACACGAAATACACGAATGTATTTAATATTTATTTCTGCGGGCACAATTTTAATTTAATCAAAGTTGAAAAATCTATGTATTCTTCAAGTTTTGGCTTAATTTGAGGATAACCAATAACCTTAGGATTTTCTTGGTCCAAAGTTAATAATCTTACAACCTTGAATAACTATTTTTCTTATTTTCCGATTTTCCGATTTTCCGATTTGTTTTTACGTAAATAATATTTAGTTATTGCAGTTGACCATTCGGGTACGAAACTTGCGATGAATACAAAAATATTCCAAATTTCTGGAATTAACATGGCAGAAAAATGTTATAAAAGCAGAAATCGTGGTGAATGTTCTGAATGTTTTTGCATCATCAATTCTCGCATTTTTTTGATTATTAATAAAATTATAAGCCAAAGAAACTGTTCCTAAAAAGTTTATTATATAATATGTAAACAGCACTCTTTTAATAGGTCTAGTTTCCAAAAATTGAACGAACACGCATCTTGGTAAGATATGTATTCTGATTATGCTTGTTACAAGTGGAATATAATTTTTCAAAAGATAAAATTCGAGAAAGTGGGATCATGTAACCTCTTGACATTTTAAAATTGGTTGTATATGGTCTATACTCAACAATAAAATTGCGTCACTTAAAAATCTATCAACACTTCAAAAAATTGTTCTTCAAGACATACTCTATTAAAACTACCAATGCATTTTTATTGGTCGAGATTTGAAATCACATTTTTTTTCCAAAAAATCGTTTTTTATTCGCCACCTAAATTTTTTATCTTATCTGTTATATGTAAAATTTTTAATCAAAAAATTATTTTTTTGAAGTTTATGGGATCAAATCTTATAAGTAGGAGTCCGGGATCTTCTGTGTACGTAACAGGTTCGTTGACTCTGTTTAATGAATTATTATTAGTTAAAGTCACCCAAATCAATTTCGATTCGCCACCATCATTCAGTTCAAAGTCTGCATATGCTTAGGAAAAGAAAGAAATATCATCATCTCAACAATCGACTGAAATAGTTAAATCGATTCTGACCAAACACGGCGAGAGGTAAAAAATGGAAATCTAATGTATCAAATTTCTAATGACCCAAGCTCGCATCTTTATCATGATCAAAATGGCAATACAGTAGATGAGGAACATACGGAAGAAGTAAATCAGATGGAAATAAATAAATAAATTAAAAAAAATGGTAAATCTATTTGTCACCAGCGGTGAAAAGTATATTTTTTTTTAAAAAAAAAAAAACCGGTAAAATTGGTATAATCATTTATTAGTTAGATTATGAATTAGTAATAGATGTAGTACAGACATCTTAAAAATAAATAATCCAAACTAACCAATCTTATGCTCAATATCACCAGATTGATTCCAAAAAATATTTATTAAATAAATAATAATAATAATGATTATTAATTATAAAAATAGTTTTTCTTTGATGAATTGTTATATTCCTATGACGTGAACGAGTGTAGTGAAAAAAATATTATCACAAAATATTTTTTATTTTCATTTTTAATTAATCAAATAAAATGTATATAGATAATTCATCTATAAAATAATTGTTAACAAAGATGATTACATTGAAGTTAAAAAATAAGAAAAACTTTTACTGCTCACTCTGTTTTCGTAAAGAATTAGAAAACAATATTCCGAATGAGAAAATATCAAAACAATTATCAAACCAAATATTTCTAATGAAATTAATGAAATTTTTTGATATTATTCTCAAGTAAGTTTAAAAGTTATTACATTATAACTATTTTATATAAAATTATTATTAATATTATTTTTTAATTTATATATATTTATGATGGTATCGTTAACTTAGAGAATGTTGAAACTAGATTTATTTTTGACTTAATGTTAGCAGCTAATGAATTTGAAATCGAGGAATTATCTAAAAAATTAGAAACTCATCTTATCGAAAACAAAACTTCTTGGTTAAGAGCATATTTTTCTTTAGTATACCATAATATTTTTAACAAACAAAACTTTAAAGATTTAGAAACTTTTTGTAATGACATTGTAGTAAAGTACCCAAATTTATTTTTGATAGTTCAGATTTTACGTATCTTCCAGAAACTGCTTTGGTATCTCTTCTCAAAAGAGATTATTTACAAATGGAAGAAGCTAAAATCTGGAATATACTATCAAGTGGGGAATTTCTCATAATCCCACTTTACCAATAAACTTCGAAGAATGGATTTTTTAACTTTGAAAACTACTCTACAACAATGCTTACCATATATTAGATATTTTCATATTTCTGGCAAGGATAAAGTAGAACCCTACAAGAAAATCCTCGATAAACAACTCCGGAAAGATTTGATGGATTTGATGCAGTATAACTTAGATCTTGAACGACAAACAAAATCAGTTATTTTACCTGCAAGATCTATTCTAGTTCCAGAATTTCCTTGTTCGTACAAAGGAACCTTTTTCAACTGTAATTTCTGATGAGCATGCAGCCTAAATTTCCTCCTGGATTGATCGTAAAACTACTAATTATTCTTCAACAAATTATCCTTATGGGTTTCAGTTAATTCTCCAAGCGAGCAAAGATGGATTTGATACTCAAACTTTTTGGAACATGTGCTGGTACAGTGATAATTATGAAAGTTGTAAACACAGATGAAATTTTGGGTGGATAATACAACTACTGGTAAATTGATAAACACAAATGATAGTTTTATTTTCTCATTGAAAAATGGTAATATACCAAATTCAATTCTCAGCCGAGTAAAAATCCCTACATATGCAGTTTATTGTTATGAGAAAGGGTCGCAAAAAAATTATGGTCCTGATTTTGCACGCCATTTTTGTATTATGTGTAATGCAAAATTTTCATGTTATAAAGATTTTGCTTATGAAAAGATATTAAAGGAGAAAAAGGTCAATTTGACATTGTTAATTATGAAGTTTTCAAAGTCAAAAAGAAAATTGCTTAGGAATTTATTCTTTAATGTTATTTTTATCTGGTTATTTAATAAATTATTTATAATAGAATCTTTAATTTTATTGGTCAATTTACTATTAAAAAATTGAAACAAAATCACATGGTATAGACTATTACCGCAAGATGATCAATCAAGAAATAAAAATAAATATTAGGTAATATACAAATATTATATTAATGTTAATCTTATTAATCTTAACGTATTCTATTAACCTAAATAATCATGATGTCAACGTGAAGGTAACAGCACTCTTTTAATAGGACCAATATCCAAGACATTGAACAAGATGAATTGATTATATATTTATAGAATTACACTATTTATAATGTCAATTATAATATAACTAGGAAACGGGAACCGTTGTAGATCCAGAGCAGTATATATTTGAATTTGTTTAATTAATTAACATGTTAAAGAATATACAAAATATAAAATAAAAAATTAATTTGATTTGATGCCGTTTATTATATTGTTTGGCGCGACGCTGCGGAAATCTTCACGTGCGTTCACGTGCGATAAATTTTCAACATAGTGCGTAAAAGTATGTCATACGCTTCGCTCCGGAAAACAATAATTGCAAATTCCTTATATGTGTGCCTCTCCCCCAAATTTTTTGTTCAACTTGAGAAAAGCAGAATTAGAAACCTAAAATTCAGATGCTCTTTCTTCAAATTCTAAATCTTCTTCTCTTGTAAAATTAATAATATAATCTTGATTCCATTTATTGATGGAAGTGGATACTCTGAATTCCAAATTCAACTTTTTTCAACAAATATCTATTAAATTTAATTCCACAATACTTTTTCAACCACCTCACCTTTATAAAAAATCTTTTATTGTATTGTGTAAATTATATTGAGTTATTGCTGTTGAAGTTACTAAGAAGTCAAATGAGACTTATATCTGATTACATATTAAAATCTTCAATGTAATGTGAAAAATTATACAATTTTAGCAACTTGATTTTCATTTTCTTGACTTTTCTGATTTTCTTGATCTTGATTTTCCCGATTTTCTTGACCTTAACTCTCTTGATTTTCCCGATATTGTTTATCGATTGAAGTTCGTAAATAATAATGAACTATTGCATATGAAGTAGCCAAAAAGTCTCCAGGTATTCTATCATAAAAGTAAGAAACACCTCTTGTTAAATAAATAACCAATATAAATATAAGTGATTTGACAAAGTAAAAATTGACTGGCAGATATATTGTGATGTATAATGTTTGTAGAATATTTGGGGTATAAAAGAAAATTAAACTATAAATAGTATATATTCCAAGACGTTTTTTTGGCCATCCTTGTGAGTAAATTTTAATACGAAAGAATATTGAACTAATTAATAATAGACTAAATAATATAAGGAATATTATCATTATTGGATTAAAACAACCGGCAGCAAGCTTGTAGGAAATATTCACTATCCAAATATCTGGAATAAATATTGCTGGATTAATTATCAAAGAAATAGTGAGCATGTTAAACATTTTTGTTTCTGAAATATGCAAATCATCAACTTTCTCTTTTTTTTTTATAGCTAATACTGAATGAAATATGTGAAAACCTGCCACAAATAATAAATACATAAAGAATGGGTACATTTTATAGGACAAAGAAACAATTAATGGAAACACCCAAGCGATTGTGTTGTATAAAATGTCATCAAATAATGGTAACAGCACTCTTTTAATAGGACCTGTCTTTGAGACATTAAACAACACGATGAATGTAATTGGAAAAAGTGCATTAAGTAGTGCATCAAATACATCTTCGTAAGATTTATAAGAATCATCAACGATGGATGCATGTGGAATAGGTAAAGATTGTACAATTTTTCCAAAGAGAAAATTCAAGAAAATACAAGCATATATTGACATTAAAAATGAAAAATTAGAATTACAGTAGAACCTTTTTCTGGTCCAAGTTCTCAAAATTTATATATAATATATAAATCTCAACATTACAAGCACAACCTGTTTAAATGCATAGGGTTTTCTTTGCCGAGGGTGTACTTTTAATAGGTTATTTTGCACTCCAAAAAAACCTATTTTAGTAAAACTCCCATTTTCTTGTAACTTTTAATTGAATTTAACCAAAAAAGGATAATAAAGATTTAAAATTTGAAATTATAAATATTATTTTTAAAAAATAATATTTTTGCTAGGCATGCAGCCTTATTATTCTAAACTGAGATTTAATTATTCCGAAACATATAAGGTGTAGATTATGTAAATCCGGCACATGTGATGAACAAATATTAACACAACCACCTTATTACTAAAAAAAAAATAATAACGAATTACTTTCCCGATTTTCTTGATCTTGATTTTCCGATTTTTTATTGATTGATGTTCGTAAATAAGACTATTGTTAAAGTAAAATACACTTCTTGTTAATAAATAACTAATATAAATATAAATGATTTGACAAAGTAAAAATTGACTGACAAATATAGGGAATGTCTAAAGCCGTGTCCTATCACGTGATCAACCGATCAACAGATGGATCCGGATGATGGCTTATAAATCATAAGAACAGTGTGTAACGCAATTTTTATTCCCACCCTTCTTTTAAATAAAAACAAAATAAGCGAAACGAGCGAAGACTTGAATAGTTTCTTCTGTTTGCTATAGAAAGTGAGGATGGTGGTTAATACTTTATAAAAAGGGTTTCTTTAACTTGTATTTTTTTATTTATTTAAAAAAAACGGTTTTTTATTTATTTATTTTATTTAATTTATTTTATTTAATTTTTTTTTATGTAATTTTTTTTTATTTAAAAGAAGCATCTTTTATTCAATTCTTTATCATTTTGTTAACTCGTATTTCATATCACAAGTAAAAAAAAACCACTAATTTTAATAATAACAGTTAACCATCACATTCTACACTTTCTATAGTGGATACAAGTAAAATAAACCTGTTTATTTCTACAAATATTGACTCACCTGATTCTGAAGAATTAACCAGCCACTCGAGCTATCAATGCAAAAATTTGATGATGATTGGTGGCCATTAGTTTCAAACATTTGGATAGGATTTATTTTAAAAAAAAAGCAAATGGTAATTCATTACAAACATACACATGTTGCTTTACTAAAATTAGAAAATCTAGTATTCAAAAAGAAGAAATTTTTAATAAAAATGTTGAAAAACAAAAATTCATCTGTTCAACTTGTGTTTGGCTAAAATTAAAATATCAAGGTTCATTATGGTGTCACAGGTGTTATTGTTAATATCCATTCAACAGTTCTTTTAAGGAGTTTATAGTTCTTTCCCATAGGTACAAGACTTTCAGTTTGGTTAATCCTTGAATTTTAGGAGGCACCAGTTAGTTTTTAGATGGTCCACTTTAATTATAATACATCCATTTCAATATTATATCTTGTAACTTCCAAACTTCATTAATATTATCTATTCATACTTTCATCATCCTTATTAATTTATCTTCATAATTTCATTATATCATCCTTATTAATTTATCTTTATAATTTTATCATAATATCCTTAAATAATATATCCTCCTAACTTCCATTTATCATCTTTAGTATTGAATAAATACTTTATCATTAAACTTTCTCAATAATTATTAGAACAGAACAAATATAATTAATAATTTAATTAATTATATAACTTCCATTTAATATTTTCACTTCCACTTTATTATATTCAATAAATTATTATTTATCAACTTGAATAATAATATTTATTACTTCACTTCCACTATGTAAATTTAATGGAAATTTACATACATACATTTATATAAATAATTATATTTTATCCTTTGAGAATTACAATTAATTAAAGTTATAAAATATAAAATTAAATAATGTAAAACTACTGAAACTATTTGAGGTAAGGGGTATATTTATACTATTTTAACTACTGTGCCACAAAATACTATTTGCTAATAATTATAAATGATATAATACTAATAATAATAAATGTTAATTGGTGTTATGTGATTAACTAATATGTTTAAATATTAATAATAAGTTAAATAATTGTTCATCCTCTGTTATAATGTATTGATACTATTAATATATTGAAGCTTTAATTAATAATTATAATGTTACATTTTATACTATAACAACATTCAACAAAAACTTACAAAATATCAGCTAGAAACAAAATCACTGAGAACCAAGCCGGAGTATTATGATGTAATTTTTTTAATGCTAAAGACAAAAATAGTTTTCTAGAAACATTAGGAGAAAGCATAGTTGAACAAATGCTTAAGGATATAAGGGAGAAGGAAGTAGAAATACCAAATAATATAAAACAAGAGATTAAATTACTATTAGATAGAATTATTTCTCGTGATGTCAATGTTTCTAAAAAGAAACTTAAACAAAGGAAAGAGTAAAATAATTCATTTGAAAGTGACTTTGCTTGTAAATCACATGTGAGTCTTTGTTTATTTCTAATGATATGAGACTAAACGTGATTTATACAGGATAGAGTTGATGGAAGACACAAACTTGCTTCTTGAACCAATATCCAAAGGAACTTATATCATCAGTTTCTTGGCACCAATTATTAATAAACTTTTTATAAAAAACAAAAAGAGTTGGCGTATTAAATATGGTGAAACTTGTCTCAAGGCAAGTGCCAAAGATTGCAATTCTCATAAAGATGATGACAAACGTCGATCTGCTAGAACACAATTATTACATTGAAAGAGGAAGATGAGGAATTTTCCGTCATTGACCTCCATCAAAACAGGACTGGACACATTTTAAAGATGATCGAATGAAAATCATAAAAATGTTGAAAACTTTAATAAACCGATTGGCAGAATTATGCCCATTAGAACAATTAAATTATACGCAATGCAATCATATTGTAAGTCTTAAATTCAAAATCCAAAACTTGGAAAAGTCCATGAAGCCCTCTCAAAAAATGACAACACGAATGATATATTCTCCCAATAGAAAAATTAAGAAAGCACGAATCAACTAGAACTCTATATTTTATTCTTGTGTGTTATAGTTCACACTGTAATTTTTACTTTGTTTCATTAGCAGTATATTTTATCTTGTAATAAGTAATAAATCAAAAAAAAATGCATCGGAAATATAGATCTTGGCAAATCAAAAATAAAAAACATAACCTTTTGCGTTGGTTGTGATCAAGTCACCAGTTTTGTAGCTAGATCATATGATTTGGAAAACGATAAAAGCAACAAATAAAATTTTTTTTCTCGTTATAAAAAAAATGGTAATTAAGCGAAAGCTCAGAAATTCAACTACTAGTACTAATGCTAGTACATCAACTACTATTGTTCCTGAAATTAAACAAGAGGAAAGTAGTAGCGTGACGCAGAGTTCTACTACTAGTTCTACCACTAGCCAATCTAAAGATTCTAAAGTTGAACGACGTGGTCGACCACGTAAACCTACGGATGCTGCGGATGTCACGGATGCCGCTGATGAAGAAGTTAACGAAAGACCTTCTAAACATATGCGAACAGGAGAAACTTTTAAAATAATTACTTTCAACCCCAAGGGAGTTGGAACTAGTAGCAGTAGTAGTAGTAAAGGAAAAGAAAAAGTAACGAATCCACCTCCCCAAGAACAACAGTCTTCTGAGTAAGCATTAATAAATTAATGAATTTATTAAATTTAAGGAACACACAAAAAGATTAAATATATTATTTGATTCAAAAAAACCGTTTAAAGTGAACAAATTTTCTCTCGACATATTGAAACTATTGCTTCACCCGGACTAGAAGGTAAAGATAAAAATAATAATTATCATAATACTCTCACATTGACCTTTTGATTAATAAAGTTATCTATGTATCCATATATCTATCTATCTATATATATTTGATATTATCACAACAATCATTCATTTTCAAAGATGTTGCTTCTAATTCAGGTAATGATATAGAGGAACCAAAGAAGAATATTCGTCCACGAAAATGGATACGTAGAAAAGTTGTAATAAAAACAACTGGGGCGGAAATTGCAGTTCCAGTTTGGTATTCTAGTAAGTTATCATTAAAATAATTAATAAAATCTATTATATCTAATAATATCTAATAATATCAATAATATCTAATAATATCTAATAATATCTAATAATAATAATTATTATTATCCATTATTTAGCCGAATCAAAAAAATTAAGTAATCATCATGGGATTTCCTATTGATTAAAGTTTGTTGTTGTTGTTGTTGTTGTTGTTTTTTTTTTATCAAGAAATTCACTAAATCTAACGAAATCTAATTGGAAATATTAATCTTTTAGAAAATCATTAAAAATCATTTATAACACCAAAATTGCCAAGGAAATCAATAACGAAATTTATAAGATGAAAAAGTTCATTATAATTAAGATTTCAAAAAGATATTCGTCATTTAAACGTCATTTTAAACATCATTTAAACATTATTTACACATATATATATATTTTATATATATATTTAATTTACGTAATTAGATGTTAATTATTAATTTTATTAAAAAATCATATGTGATAAATAATAATAATAATAATAATAATAATAATAATAATAATATACGATGATTATTCAGTGCATCAGGTCTTGGCATTTCGATATCTTGTGAAGCCAACTATCATTTATCATCCGCAATCAATTCCTTTGTTATCATCATCATCATCATCGACACTTTCAATTCAAGATCATATTAAAAATTTCAATCAAGTTTCAACTTTTGCAGATTATTTTCAGAGAAATGAATTATGGGAAGAATTAAATATTTTAGAAAGATTATATTATAAAAATAAGAATCAACATAAACGGACAATCTATTTTCGCAAAATTGAAGAGGTAAATTTTAATTAGTTAATTCAAATATTTAATATATTTAATAATAATATATTTAATAATAATATATTTAATAATAAATATATTTAATAATAATATATTTAATAATAAATATATTTAATAATAAATATATTTAATAATAATATATTTAAATAATAATAAATGATTTATTAGTCAAATTTAATATGCTTTTATATATATATATATAAATATATATTTTAAATGTTTCATAAATTTTCGATTTCTTTAGGTAAGAAGAATTACCAATAGATTTAAAGAAATGAATATTGGAGATTTATTATTAGAATTTATTGGATGGTTTTATGGGGCCGATCAGGATCAGTAAGTGCATTGATATATTATTGATATTATAATATTTAAATTATAAATTATACATAAATTATATATAAATTATATATAAATTCTATATAAATTCTATAAAATATTAAGACATTCATTATTTACATAAATATAAAAGAAATAAAAAACATCAAAAACAAAAAAAACAATGGGATCACATTCCATCTCGAAATATGGGACTTTATGTATTAAGTAGAATAAATTGTGCTATATCTTTAATGGATGAGGTACTTTTTTTTTTCATCTTTATTGGTTTTACCTGTTGTTTCGTTTCGTTAAAGAAGAAATTTAATTAAATTATCAATTCTTATAGGCTTTGGAATCTTATCTTGATACCTACAGGTAAAAATCTGCTTTATTATTATTGTATTTATTAATTGTTAACAATCCCATTTTCCAAACTCTTATTCTTTATTTAGTAATATTCAATTACTTCTACGTCAAACGGAATTCATGACTCTTGCTTTAACTATGATATCCATTCTTGCTCGATTAAATATGTTAACACGTGTCTGGCTCTCTGAAATGAGAAAATGTTATAAATTATTGAAGGAATGGGTTTTACATTTTCCAGAATAGATTTAGATTACTTTATGATTGTTAATTTTTTTTTTTTTTATTATTATAAATTTTCTTTATTCAAAAATTTAGAAACATAATTTTTCTGAATTATTATTATTATTATTAAAATGAATTATTATTAGAGTGAATTATATTGAAAGTTAGGTATTATAATTATTATAATTATTTACAAAATTATTTATGGATCATTTAAGCAATTCCAATCTATTTCTTCTTGACCCTTTGATTTTAAGTATTCATTTGCTTTCGACCAATGATGACAATCGAAAAATCCTCTAGGAGCCGAAAGTGGTGAAGGATGAACTGATGTCAAAACTAGATGATTTTTCTAGCAAGTGATTAATAATTAATTAATTATATTAATTATTGAATTAGATTTTATAAAAAATTATTATTTTTTCGAAATATATATATATATATATATATATATTTATTGTATTCATACCTTATTAACGGATTTGCCTTTTTTGATTGCATGTGCACCCCAAAGCATAAACACTAATCCCATCTTTTTTTCACTTAGGTATTGTATAACTGCATCTGTTATATTTTAACAAAAGATTTAACTTCTATTATTTTCTTTATCATTTTCATTTCATTATATTATTATTATTATTATTATTATTATTATTGTCTTCTCGTTATTATTTGAAATTTTTTTTATATACCAGTAAAAGTTTCCCATCCTTTACCACTATGACTCATGGGTTTATGAGCTTGTACTGTGAGCGTGGCATTTAATAGTAAAACACCTGATTTGGCCCAATTGGCAAGATATCTAATTTAATAAATTTAATAATAATAATAATTTTTAATGTTTCATTAGTTTCATTATTTTTCTGAAATTTACTAACCCGTGATTTGGTTTCTGAAATGTTGGAATATCTTTTTCTAAAGCTATGAAAATATTGTTGAGTGAAGGTGGTGATCGGACCTTCTTTGGAACACTAAAACATAATCCGTGAGCTTGGCCATCATTATGATACGGATCTATAAAAAATTATTTATTTAATTTTATTTAACTTGAACATTAAATAATAATAATAATAATAATAATTTTGTATATTATTGACCTTGACCAAGAATCACAACTTTGACAGAAGAAGGGGGTGTAAATCTAGACCAGCTGTATATTTCTGGTTCTATATTATTTTCATATATTTAATATATTAAATTAAAATTCAAAAAATTCGATGTTTTTTTATAACAATAAAATTAATAAAATTTAAAACGATATATATATATAAAATGAAGAACCAAATGGTGTAAAATTTCATAGATTTCATAGTTTGGGATACCTGGTGGAAAAATTTTTTCTTTTTTCAACTCGTCTTGAAGGAATTTTTTCAGCTATGCATTTTTTTTTTTTTTTTGTAAAATAAAAAAAATAAAACTATGAAATAAACGAAAAGCATATATCAATAAAAAATAAAAAAAAACTTCCGACTCTTTAAAAAATGAAAACCTCAATAAAATATGGTTTTTTAATTTCTGTTAATAACACGCTTAACCATTCTTTATCCATAGTCTCGAACTCAAGTCTTAAGTCCTCGTTTATTTCAGTAACTTCGGTACTTAAACGTTTAGTTATATTTAACTGAACTTGTTCCGGAGAAGGCTTTTTTATCCATGCTGTAAGAGAACTTTGTTTTTGTTGTTTTTTTTCTCTTGAGGTTGTTTCGTTAGTTGAAGACGCGTCTTTACGTTTAAGCATTTTTTGTATAAATCGAAGGCGATTTGGTAGTGACATTTTCGATAATCCATTTTTTATTTGTCATTATTTGGAAAGATCTAACCAATCATGGTTAAATTGAATTTATATTCATGTTTTTAAATTTTATCAAGAATAATATCAAGATATCAAGTGTGACAAAAAAGAAGAATTAAAGAATTATACCTAATTATCCTAATTATGATTTAATAACTGAAAGTCACGTATCAAAATTCTCACCAATCAAATAATTTAAAGTGCTGTATATAAAATCTGAATGTTCGTTTTTTATCTATCTTTTCAGCTTTCGCTAAAGATTCTTTTCCTTTTTTTTTTAATTTTACTATCGTAACCATCTTTCAAAATAAAGTAACAGTCGAACTTTAAAAAAATCATTATTATTTTTATTATCTCTATAAATTAAGTATGGCTTTAGCAAACGCTACATTTTCTGAAATTTTGGACGACCTGTCAAGGTTCATTTTATAATATCATATTTTAATTCGGTTTTGATCGGATTTATTTTTTTAATTATTTTTATTTTATTTTTAACTTGCTTTCAAATAATGGGACTTTTTAGTCGGTTTATAATAAATGTACCAGAGGAAGAATTAGCTTCCGTTGAACGTATATGTTTTCAGATAGAACAAGCTCATTGGTTTTATGAAGATTTCGTTAGAGAACAAAACTCCAGTTTACCGAGTTTTAACTTAAAAAACTTTTCAGCAAAATATATCCTTTTTTTTAAAAAAAAAATAATACATATATAAATCATATAAAATTTTATACACGTACTTTACTATTTGATTCACCGTTCGTTAAGTTAATTTCCTTGACTGGAACGCACTTTTCAAGCATTGCCCACTTTTACACCAATGGTCTCACAAACATGAGAAAGCTTTCGCTGATTTCATGCAATATAAAATTCGAGTACCCGTATGTGGCGCGATTATGTTAAATGAGAAAATGGATATGGTAATTAATTAATCTTTGATATATTGATTATTATTATCTATTTATTTATTCATTTATTTAAATTATATTAATTAATACTTTATCGGATTAAAAATTTGTGGTCTTATCTTTTTTTTTTTTTTTTACTTTAAGTGTGTGTTAGTAAAAGGATGGTCATCTCGTTCAGGTTGGGGTTTTCCTAAAGGTAAAATAAATAAAGATGAACCAGATTCAACTTGTGCAGCTCGTGAGGTATATCTTGCGTTTTATCCAAAATATAATATAAAAAGCATAGATAAATTTTATATTTTTATATAAATAAATAAATAATAAATGAATAAATAAATAAATATATATATATATAGGTTTTGGAAGAGACTGGGTATGATATATCTCCATTGATTAAAGAACAAGATTATGTAGAATTAACAATTCGAGAACAGCGCATAAGATTATATATTGTTGTTGGAGTTTTTGAAGATACAAAATTTTGTCCAAAAACTCGTAAAGAAATTAGCGTAAGTTTTCAATTTATTTTTTTAAAAAAATTTTTTTTTATCAAGATTAAATAATAATCGATAATAATTACTAAATCAAAAAAAATAGAAAGTTGAATGGCATAAAGTGGCTGATCTACCAACGTGGGTAAGAAGTCGTGACAAGGATACACCTTATCATTGCGGTGGCGGTTGCGTGAAATACGGCAGTAGTAGATTTTATATGGTCGTTCCATTTGTGAGGTATTCTTATCTATAAAGACTATAAGAGTGCAGAAAATCTATAAAATGTACACTTTCTCAACAAATATATCATAATTAAAATTTTTAGCAAGTTGCGTCACTGGCTTAAAATGCAAAGAAAAATGGTACGCAAAAGAAATATTGGAAATTTACAATTAGAAGAATCCGAAGCAGAAATATTTAATGGAAACACTAATGCTACCGGACAAAAGGAAACTTCTCCAGAAACCTCGGTACCAGGAACAGAAAGTGAAGGAAGTCCTCCAGAGAAATTTCAACATTTAAACAGCGAACATTTTAAACAATCTTCATCAAATAATCATGATAACTCACAAAATATGATGAGATCTGTACTTGGTTTAGACTCATCACAAATCTATAATCCTCAGAATTCGCAAAAGGGCAAAGATATTGATATAGGATTAACTTACGATAACAACCTGGCGTACACAAATAATGGATTTGATCATCCATATTCATATTTTTCAACATCTTTACCTTTGGGTCATTCATCTCATTCACCCTTAACATCTAACGCCCAATTTGACACTTCGATAATTGGTATGCATTCATCCAATCATTTATCAAATTATAATTCAATACCTGGAATGCGTCAGCAAGATAATTCAATCGTTTTTGAAAAATCCACAACTTTTAATTCAAGAACAAAATCTTCAGTTAATCAAATATATTTAAACAACACTCAATTATCATCTTCACCAGTTTTACCAATTGATAAACGAGATGTAACTGATATAACTGCACCAAAACCCATACATGCCAATACTAATGTAGCAGTTGCTGCTTTAGACCCTGAACAACCACTTCGTAGAAATTCATTATTAAGTTTATTTGCTGCATCAACTTCAACTAGGAAAGAATCTTCTATACAGTCCAAGTCCATAGATGATGATATTCAACGCAAAAATTCATTACTTAGTGTTCTTAAATCAGAAACACCTGTATCTGATGGAGGACATAAGATTTCATTAACACATGAAGATATACTTCAACATCAAAGGCAGCAACATTCATTATTCCATTATCCTCCTAAATCATATAATTCCGTCAATTCCCTTGAAAATGAATCAAATGGAGATAATCAAGATCAAGATCAAGATAATGATGGCGTTTTCACAATGTTTCAAAATAGTATTACTCAAGGGAATGCTTTATTTTCAACACCAACATCAGACCAAAATAATGATTCAACTTCAACATTAAATCGACGAGGTTCCGCATTTAGCCGACATTCCAATCAAGATATTTTAATTCAAAAACTTCCAATTAACATTGGACATATTGGTCAAGGGAGACCATCAAGTAATAATGATAATATAAATCCAGAAATTCACGAAGTTACAAGAAAAATGTCATTATTAGGTTTATGTCATACAGATTATTCGTCGAATGATACGAATAATAGTAAAGGATCACCTAATTCTGTTGAGATTAGTCCAAATCATCCAAATCATAAAGGTCAACAAAACACCTTTTTCTCAACACCAGTTGTTGATTACGAACACACACCCAACTCTAATAATGCGTCAGGTACACCTAATTCGTATAATGAACCTTTGATACGTCTAATCACACCTTCACCTTCAGGAAATAATTTCCATCCCAAAGTTTATTATTCAGGAGGTACAGAAATTAATAATCAAGAAATAAATATATTAGACCTTTTAAATGTGAACCCACCCGATGGAGATTTTGTTGACTTGAACGTGAATGATGGTGAGATAAATTCTTATTCAAATCCAAGAGGTGGAATCGAATCATCAATCCTTCAGAAAAAAGAATTTTCAAGTAATGGTGGATATGAGGGTGCTTTAAGTATGGTAGAGACATCATCATTGGATCAAAGAGTTCGTCATAAATTCTTTGATCCAATTCATGCTTTAATTCCTTCGAATGGTGCTCGTAATCCTATGAATGGATTTAAATTCGATGTCGAGAAAATTACTGCTGCGCTGTAATTTTATAGACAAATTTTGATCATCGTTATAAATGATAAAAATATTATAAAGGTCCAAAATTCTCTTAGATCTCATTTAACGAGAGATATTTTTTTTAATAAGTAATATCTCATCTCTATTATTATTATTATAAATCATATCGTGTAATATATAGATATATTTATACATCATATAAGATCTTATAATTTAATGTACTGATAATATTTAAAACATTAATATGATGTGGTGACGATTTTGTAATATTACAGCAGGTATTTTTTTTTTTGTAAATTTCATAGACCTTTTTAAATAAAATAAGATTTGAAAAATTATGTGTACATAAAATTAAAGAATTAATTTATTTAGAGTTTATTTATTTGCATTATAGCATTTTTTTTTTTTAAAAAAAAAAAAAATTATGTAATCTGATTTTGACATTGTTTTAAAGTTATGAAAATTCAGTGAATTAATATATATATATATATATATATATATATAGTTGTGATAAAAGAAGTAGAATTTAAATTATTTTTTATTAAAATTTCCAATTAAATAATTAAATAAAAAAAAAAAAATTTTTTTGAAAGATTTCCAAATAAAAATATGAAAAAAAAAGAAATTTCACAAAAATTCTATATAAATATAGCTAATAATAATATTCAAAATGTTTATTAGCTGAATTATAAGGTTAATATATAATAGGCTACTTTTCTATTTTTTTTTTCTCTTTATCTAAAATTTCACTTAAAAAAAATATAATTTGTATTATTGATTTAATTTTTTAAATATATAAAGATCTTTATAATAACGAATCAAATTGGTCGAGAGGTTTTTGAGCTCCATTTTGATTTTGTTGTACAGGTCGCCCTGTTGTCCAAGTACCTTTAACATCCCAAGATGATGTTCCGGTTTGTACAAGAGAATTCATTGAAGGTTTTGAGGGTTGTGCCATATTGTTGTTTTTCTCTTTTCCTAAAGAACCTAAATCAACTAGACTTGATGCCCAAATGTCATCCGATTTTATGGCTGGAAAAGTGGTATTAGAATTTGTAGAATTCTAAATTTATAATAATGTCACATAACGGTTAGATATTAATGTTTTTCAATGCGATATGAAAAATAAATTTTTAACCTACTTTGAATGCTGTTGCTGAATTCATTTTTGACGAATTAGGAGTAAAAGTTGAATGTGTTGAATTCGTCACTGGAGGCAAGTTCGAATTCTGTGATAATTGAGCCGGAACTGATGAAACAGGAAATGATGAAATAGGGACTGATGAAACAGGGACCGATGAAACAGGAACTGATGAAACGGGACCAAGCAAATCATCAAGTAAATTATTATTGACTCCTGAGTTAGGGTTATTATTGAGACCAGTAAAATTTGTAGTTTGTAGTGGTTGTAGTGATTGTAGTGTAACTGAATTAATTGAAGATCTTTGCGAGGAAGAAGCATGATTTGGGGCACTCTGAAATTCTTGAAAATCATCATCTATAATCAAAAAATAATTAACAATAAGCTTTAATGAATAAATGAAATTTGTAAATTTTAATGAAAATTACAATTGAGAAATTAAGAAATTGATAACGATTGCAAGATACCAAAATCAGTGATATTTTGAGAATTTCGGGCATTTTGTGATGGGGTAGAAATTGAATCCGGCGTTTCATCGAAATCAAACAAATTAACTTCATTTTTTTGTTCTATTGTGTTAATCGTAGATGATTCTGTTGACTTTTTCGTTGAACCTTGACTGAAACGATTGGTATTTCCAATACTAGATCGTCTATCATCCGATGGGGAGACTCTACCGATCCGATAATCGCTTTGCCAATCTGGATCATCGTATCGAGAACGTGAACGATCTTCATCTAGAAAAGATTTTATATTAAATTTTTTTTTTTTTTTTTTCTTTAAAAAAAATAATATTCTAATGTTTTAAAAATAATTATAACTTACTGTAAGAATATGATTCATTGCCAGATCCACCAAATCCACCATATCTTGAATATGATCCATAACTACCAGAAGTATCGGAACTAACTCCAGTATATTTTGATCTATTTGCTTTTGCCTTTTTTCGTTCTGCTCTAATTTTCTCCACATCACTTAGAAGTTCTGTAAATTCTCTGGCCCTATTACGAACTAAATAAACGAACCTAAATAAGTTAAAATAATTAAAAATGATCTTATATAATTAATTTGAATTAAGATATATTATCTTATTACCATTTATTCCTTGATCCTTTCCTTTTTCATCAATGAAAGCAAAATTTCGCATAACTTTAATAGTAGTCATATGTGCTCGAGCATCATCTACTACTCTTTCGGATCCATGTTTGACGAGATATTCAAGTAATTGAAGTGCCTAATTTTGATAGAAATAATAGGTGAAGTTTTTAAAAGATTTTAAAAAATTAATTCTAACTTATATTTATATCTATTTTACCTTATAAATTTGTCGCCATTGTCTTGCTTCCTTTTCTAAAAACCGTTTATAAATTGTTGGCATAATCTCGTTGAAATGCTGACTTTTAAAAAATTGTGAATTAATGTTCCGTTTCTAGGTGATTACTTAATGCGATTACTAATGATAGACAATCGTAACTCACTAGCTATAGGTTCCTTGCGCAATCTCCTGCATTAAAGTGCTACTGGCTCCCCAAGGCTCGTTATTAGTAGCCTCTCGAACTTTGGCCTCCATTTCTGTATAATTCATTACAACATTTTTTCTGTAATAATAATTAAATGAGATGAAAACCATTCATCTAAATTATTTAAATAAAATCCAGTCCTGAAGTTAAATATATCTAACATACACTTTGTTGAATACGTCTTTGACATCCCATAGTGTTAAATTGTTCAAGTTTTCCATAATTCTAAAAATAAGACGATGAATGGCTGTGCTTCATTGGCACATCATTTATATTATCATTTATTAAATTCAGAGCTGCGCCTTCAAATGCAGGCTTTTATTATTATAACATAACATTTCTTGATATAGCTTTCTAGTATTTTTTTTTTTTTTCGATTAATTTTAATTCAAAAGTTTTGTTTTCAAATTAATGTAAATTGTGATAAAATAAAAAAAAAAATCGGCCTAATAAATTATATTATATACATTGATTGTAATGCAATTCAAACGGACATAAAGTTTTTATTTAAAATTAAAATACTTGGATTAGTAATTAATTAATAAATAAATTGCAAACTAATTGTTGGACCGCAAGTAAATAAATAATTATGATATTCATTCTTTTGAAATCTATTTAATCATTTATAATTGATCTTAGTAAAAGGTTTGCATATTGGTAATATAAATCAATCATGAAACTTGAAAGGTATCTTTTTATTCTGTTCATAATTTTCTATTATTCATTCATATTAAATTTGCTTACAATAATCTCACCAACTTTCCCTGAATTTGATTGGAGTATAATTTAGAATTATTTCACGTGTTGTCTTTACAAGGTGACGAACATTCAAAGAAATTGATATTCGAAGGTGTGACACGTGGTTATAAATACGATACCCCTAACCTTAATCTTTGCAGCATGTTTAATCATGTGATCACAATACGTGTCAAAATTAGAGATCGTCTCCTCAATTTAAAATTAAACTATTGTATTCGCATATATATATATATTTGTTTTCAATAATATCGATGAACACATTACGTAATCAGTGAAATCTCCAAATTTATCCATCAATGGAATTCAAGTCCAAAAAAAAATTTAGCGGATAATTTGTTGGTAAAGTTAACACACAAAAAAAAAAGGAAGGATGCTATTCAAGCATCATGCTATTTATTAATAAAAAATATTTACAAAAAAAAAACTATTAAAATGAACTCGAATGATGTGCATATTATTTTACATATTAGTACTACTACATTTTTTTTAAAAAAAAGGAAAGACCTACATTGCATATAAAATGTTAATCAAAAGAATAATTAAAATCTTTCTTAAAATAATATAGGGAATTGGTGTCATTTCATAATTTAAAACTCTCACAGTAAAAAAAAATGAATCATAAAATATTTTTCCCTCAAATCATATCAAAAAAAAAAAATCTTGACTTTTTTTTTTAAAAAAAAAAAAAAATCGAGATAATTTAAAATGTTCTAATATTCGACGAATAAAAAGAACGCATACGAAATTATACAAAACGTACTATTTAATATAAAGGTAAATTCGGTAAAACGATTATTTCGGATATGTGTGTGTGTGTGTGGAAAAGAAAAATCTACGAAAAATATATACGGATTTATATACATACAATATAAAGAAACGAATGATTTTTAAAAACACTATATAAAAAAGTATGTTAAACTATATATAAGAATTTGAAAACATCTATAAAGTATAATGAAATATTATAAATAAATAAAAAAAAGAAGTAATGGAAGGTAATGAAAAGGTTGAAATTCAAAAATAAACGCATATAAAAATTGTAAACGACAAAAGAAAGTATAATATATTATTTACGTTTTCATAAAGGCCATTAATATTTTATCTTTTTTTTTATGGAAAATCTATTATATATCATCACAATTTTGTTCATCATTTTCCAAAAGCCATTTTATATTATGATGAGATTGAGAGGTTGGGAATGATGTCTCCACTTCCATAGTATCTGGAGATTGAGTAAAATAATAACTTCCCTCTTGTTGAAGTTGCCATTGTGATCCAGATTCTTCACAATCAGAGTATATCGGTGAGGATTCCGATTCATTCGGTATAACTTGTTTAGGAAAGATTACACATATCTTTCTCCCCATCTTTAAATATCTGCCATTACTCGTAGGCAATTGTGGTTGATTTTTTGTATCATCATCGTTTAATTGTAAACCATCTTCTATACGATAATAACAAAGGTCTCCACAATACAAAGATTGATTAATTGTATCTTTCACTGACATAGAAGAATTGTTTGTCACATTTTTTGAAGTTTGATGAAGTGATGTCTCCATTGAATTATGATTATTTATGAGTTGTGATTGATCATTGTTAAAATTAAATGATGATGATATAGGAGATACGGTTGTAGGCATAAATGAAGATAAATTTCGTTGATTTAATGTTGATTGATAACAAGATTTTGCATAAGTTTCGAGTGGTAAACATTCTTGTTGATAAGTGGTAGGTGAATTTTGATTATAAATTCTATTAGTTCGTGTTGGAGAAGAAATTTGATCATTATCAGAACAATAATTGTTCGTTTCATTCATAACATCACAAGAATTATTATTATCTTCTTTTTGTATATCTTGATATATTTGATTTTCGTTCATTTGATTATCTTCAATCATGCCTGAAATTGTATGAATATCCGTCGACGATGTCATATTAACTTCACCGTCACATAAATTATTCCCTTGATATCTGGAAATTTGTTTTTCGAATAACGCTAGTTTTTCTTTTAAAGATTTAATTTCACTTTGAGCTCGTGAATATAAAATTCCCAGATTTTTAGCTTCCTGTTCAAATTTTTTGGCATTAATTTCCAAATTTTTCATATAATGATCTCGACGTTGACGAAAGGCTCTTTGATTATTCAAATTTTGAATATGTTTTTTCTATTAATGATAAAAATAAAATAAATAAAAAAAGACAAAAAATTTGAAAATTGAAATATTATTATTTAAAATATTTTTTTGAACAAATGAATAATTTTATTTAATATTAAAATTATAAAAACTTACAGCTAATGGCATTGTAGCTAAAGGTTTACGTCCGCGTTTATTCGGAGTAGGTCTTCCTACCGGTGTTACGGGAATTGTTTGTTCTATATTAAAAAGTAAGTAAGTATGACAAGTTTGACGCGTTATAATTAGAAATTATTCATGAATTGAAAAATTGATATTATAAATTATCATGAATTGAAAATTAATATTATAAAATGAAACCAAAAAACTTACGACATGAAATAAGAGGAAGAGGGTTTGAATAAGAGGAAATATCAAAACGTGAACTTGAACTTATTGAGGGCGAGATAGATAACTTTCTCGGTTGAGAAGTAGACGACATTTGTGACGGTTGAGTATTGTTAGACATTTCATAAAAGAGGGGAGAAAGGAGGAATTTCGAGGAGGGCGAATTGTACCTTGGTTGACCTTATTGCTGGCTTTATAAAACGATTAAAACGATTAAAACAAAATTCGTTTTTTATACATGCATTTGAAGACTGTTACACATGTAAGAAGTTTGGCCAATTAATCCAGTTAAACCAACACGTTTTCAAATTAAATAAACATTTAAAGCAAAGCATTGTTTAAACCCATGCAATGATTAACAATATGAAAGAATTTAATTAACAAAAAATGCAGATAGATTTCTCAAGGTAAATCATTTAGACAACATAAGAAGAAGTTACTGTAGATCGTTTAAATCACAAAAGTCGAAGCAAAAGTTTAGATCTATAGATTATTAATTATATCATAACGCAGATTATGGTTTCAAAAGAAAAACAAAGAACAACGAAAAATTACTTGGAAGGAAATTATCTACAAAGAAATATCTTTTTGACCAATGGATTAATAATGTGTCAAAATAATTTGTCAATTAAGAATTTGTGACCACATTCATTACAACTTTCTCTTTTAGATTGATTTAAATAAAAATTTCATTTTCTCTTTTTTTTTTTTTGATTTATTTAAATAAAATTTTTTTATTTAACAATTTTTGAAATAAATAATTTGATTCAGAATATATAATTTTTAAAATTTTCAAATTCGTTTTCACAGAATTAATTAATTAATTTGAAAAAAAACAGAAAGGTAAAATTTTCTTAAATATGAATTATATAAAATCGTACGAAAAAACTTTATCTTCAATTGATGAAATTATCAATGTTCTTTAAAATTATTAAAAATAGATGATTTTAAGACGATATGAAAAAAAATACGAAATTTTTAATAACAAAAATTATACGGAAAAAAACTTTGATTTTGGCTAAATTGATGGCAGATTCGATAGGTTGCTCCGATCAATACAATCCTAACTCGGCTGCGGCCTGTCAATCAATTCCCCGTTATAAGTTTTTATACATTAAATCGAATTTCGTGTAATTTTTAAAATTTTTTTTTTTTTTTGTCAAAATGACACCTGAAGTCTTTTCAATCGATCTGGTATAAAGATATTCATAATTTATCCTATGGTTTTTGTCATGTAATCCTAATAACTTATATTATTCTGTCAGACAGTAGATAGAGATGTTGTATCAGAGGTTTTACGTGGTATGAAAGTAACACTAATCTGGTTTTTTTTAAAAAAAAAAAAAGTTTTTGAATCGATCTTAACTTTTTTTTTAAAAAAAATCAAAGCAATATTGCATACAATATTATTCTATAGAGTTTTTGGAAACATAAAACCTAGAGAAGTTGATCTGTTGGATATCACCTATGTATATATTTCTCTTTTCCTTATATGAAATTTTTTATTTCTTATTTCTTATTTCTTATGATAATAATTATTTTTTTTTTCATTCATTTTTCAAGTCAGCAATAGATGATCCCGAGATTGAAAAAGTAGTTGAGGATAAAGTGGAACAATTTATTCATAATTTAGAACATCACGGTAATCAAAAGGGTCAGGTTGGTTGATTATTAATTATTGGTTTTTTTCATTAAACCTATATTTTGTAAATATTTAGTTAATCAAGTTTTTAGATTGCTGTAATGTTTCATGAAAAAAGAACAAAAAAAGCTTGGTTTACTAAATCTGAAGAAGAAATCTGTTGGGAACAATGGGCTGTCACTTTAACAACTTTGATATGTCGTACCGAACGTGGTAAATTAATGTACTTAAAATGAATATTGATTTAATTATCATTATGTCATTATTGTGAACTTTTTCTTTCTTTTCTTAAATGAATATTTTGTTAATAGATAAATTAAGGGTTCGTAAAGACATGGATAAACAACTTTATTCTTGCCTTTTTAACATTATACGGTTTGTAAATGATAAAAAGGATCATATTCCGCCAATCACAACACCAGATGCTAATCCATTTCCTTATCAGGTTTAATAAGTTTATCTTATTTTGTTGACTTCTTATTATATTCTAGAAGCAAAAAAAATTAACACTAATTAATGTCATTTTTAAAGATTGTTATCCCTGCTACAAATGATTCTTGGGGTTCAATTTTGAAAAGAATGTTAACAGAGTCTTCACAACCTATATAATGGTATTTATTTACTTATGTTAAATATGAATTTTATATTATTTTATTAATATTAATTCAAATTTATTAATTCCAATATTAATAATATTAATTCATTCCAATTGATTTTTTTTTAATAAATAAAGGTTATAAAATTATCAATAATATAGAATTTTATAATAAATATAATAAGTAATATATATTATATATATCAATATTACATTATAGATCACCAAATTTAATTTATTTATTTTTTTATATAATTAATTAATTATAATTAAATTTATGACCAAAATGAAATCTTGTTTCAAATTTATTACAGATTTATTAATTGTAAAATAAACAAAAGTTATAGATTTGAAAACATTATCCAACTTGGATTACAATATTTGTTATTATTTAAAAAATAAAAAAAAATAACAATTAAATAGTTACTTAATACAACAATAATATCCTGTTTTAAATATAATAGAAAAATTTAATAAAATTATTTAGAATAATTTAATTTATCTTTATAATTTAATTGGATTTATGATACTTGTTAATACTTGATATTAGTAATATCATATTACTCCATTATTGGCAATTAACTTTTTTTTTTTGCAAAAATATTAAAAATATTAAAATTATCATTATTTGATCAATAATAAATAATACCAAAAATTCATTTAACTTATAACTGGGTTTTCTTCTCCACATGAACTTTGACAATGTTAAACATTCAGGCTCAGGAGTAAGTTAGATGCATAAAATGGAAATCATAACATAATAAAAAAAAAAAAAGCAAACATATCATGTTTAATGGAAATGCCTAATTGAAATTTTTTTTTTTAAAAATTATCAAAAATAACATAGATAACGTAGTAGCCAAAGTATTAAGTCAATCTCTAGGAATATCAGGTATGTCAATTGACACGACCCAACAGTTAAAGTATCAAAATTAAACAAACATGAAAAAATTTCAGTAAAAATATTTTTCTGATGGTTTTTTTTTTTCAAAAAAGTTTTTTTTTTTTTTGTGATTCGTAAATTTCTATATGAATCTGCATTTTTTTCTGGTCTTTTTTTTTATATGTTTCTTATAATTCATCACTTCCGAAAAAAAAAATCAAAAAATATACATTGCCAATTTCAATGGCAAAAAAAAAAAAAGGAATAGGGAATATGCGAAAATAAGGGAGAAAAGTCGGTGAAGATATTTTGTGATATCAAAATTAAAGTGTGAGAAAAAAAAATGAATAAGGGCTATTAGTAATTAATTATGAGCCCTTCGAAAGGCGATGTCTAGCATTGCCAAATTCCCAATGGCCCCCCCAAAATTTCTAGTCTATGGAGTTAACTAGTCAAGTGATGAAATACGTAAGAAAATATATTTCTCATAAATTCTAAATAACAAACGTAATCTTAAAATAAAGACCAGTAAGAAAATGAAATTAAACCAAACGTCCGTTAGAATTAAAATTTAAAAATCCTCTCAACCAAATAAATCTCCTCCTCACACACACACACACACACACACTTTTTCATTTTTCATTTTTTTTTTTTATTTCTTTTGAAAAAGCTTATTTAATTAATTATTGAGTTCGACGCATCAGATTATGATGTGCATGTTCAAGATGATACTTCAATCCATTTGCGTTTTTGTATCGTTTTTCACAATTAGGAACATCGCATTTATGAGGTTTGATAACAGGTTTCTTTTCGTCTGTATCAGACATAGCTGACCTATGTCCATGTTCGGTGTGGTATTTTAAGCCATTTGGGTTCTTGTAAGATTTTATACATCCAGGTAAAGTACACCTAAAAGGTCTCTCGTTAGCCTCTTGGGTGGCTGCCTTCGTTACGCGGTTGTTCCTAACTTTGAGGTTATTAAGGTTATTAAGATTACCGTGGTGAAGGTGAGACGCGATGACGTGGTGACCATGGTCAGTCGAATATTCTGTTGTTCCGTTATGATAATAAGATAATTTTGTAGGTGTTTCTTCGTAAGTCTTAACTTCATATGCCTTATATCCACTTTTCATAGTGTTCGTATATTTGAGATCTTGACTTGGAACTAAAGCGGTTTCGAAGTATCTGGAATGGCAAATATTTTGATCAAAGATGTTCAGTTCCATGATATATGTGAGCCAAAAGTCACTGGTGTCCTTTTTTTACTTTTTTTTTTTTTTTTTTTAAAGAAAGCCAATGAGAATAAAAAGAGATTGTAAACAAAGATTGACGTCAAATATATATGACATCATGATCTCTTCCAATAAGAGGATATTGCACGAGCTCTTATCTCTTGAAAGGATTTAAGTGTAACACTAGAACGAGATCAAAGTTGCAAAAATTGAAAAAATTTTTCATACTAATTGATTGGACACGGATTATTTCGGATGTTAATGTAACTTCTAAATGTCGATCATCTGATGTTAACCTACCCAATATAGAAAGTGTGCAGTATAATGGCGCAAACCCCGCCCTACTTGTACATTATGACATTGTCCAGTAGTTTTAGTTAAAAAATTTTTAACCAAAATATTTTCCTTGACCAAGAGAAACTTCCATTGTATCCTTTTGTGGATATTTATAGACATTTATGAAGAAGAAAAAATGGTAAATGGTATAATAGGATGGGGAAAAGATTACTAAAAATAAATTTGAAAAATGTTTCAAGTTTATTCTTTAATTGTACCAACCTATGAATTTAGGTGATTCAATAATTATTACCAATATAGATAATAAAAGATTTGTAAGCTCAAATCCTGAAAATAATTTCTTTATTTTTATTTTTATTTATTTTATTTTTATTTTTATTTATTTTTCTATCTTATTGTATAATTAATTTTTAATTTTATTTATTAAAGATGGCATGTATCTTCATTTATCACAATTATTTTATAGTGTTTATGGAAATTTGAATTTGCTAATCAATATTATCTATATTACATTTGTAACTCAATAATTAAATAGCCAATCAACTATCATTTGTCATACATTCTAAAATCTAGTTATGATTAAAAATGATTAAATAGAATTCTTGAATAAGCAAGATCAAAGCAAAATAATATTAGTTTAAACTTAAAATGTAAAAAAACTAAGTTGGAACTGGGAGAAAATTTGTAGGTTATTATCTTTTTTAAATGAGTAAAGATTTAATATGCATTAGAACTTTATGAATACAAAAATTATATGTCAATTTTCTAAGTTGTTAGAAATTTATATTTGACAAGAATTTTCAGGCCTGCTGGTTAAATTATTGGATTTTTACACATTTTGAATGAAATTTAGTGAAATAGAAACTTTTACTGGCAAATTCAAAAAAAAAAAATCTAATTTATCCAATGAAGGAATTACAAATAATATATAAAAATCATTACTTTGATTCTATTAAATTTACTCTTGCAAAAAAAAAAAAAAAATTTGAATTTAACTTGTGAATTTTTTAATGTATTTTATTATAACTTTTGGGTCTCATGGGTGCTAATCCTCTTACATCTGCGAATTTTGTTTGACCTTCCAGTATCATCTCTGCAATCACTAATCCAGTACCAGATGAATTTAAGATTCCCCATACGGAATGTCCAGTTGCAAGATAAACTCCATCAAGCCATGGAACTTTTCCAATCAAAGGTTTATCATCATCAGATATTGGCATATAACAACATTGTTCGCGTACAACAGTTGCATTGCCTAAAATATCTGGAGAAAGTGTATTCATATTGTTCTTAAGACTTCTAATTGCTGTAGGATTAGGGATGTACTCTTCGGCGCTGGCTGGGAGAGGAGATTCATCACATTCTCCTGAAATATATACTTCTCCATCCGGACGTGGATAAATTTCTGGTTCAGCGTATTTATGACCAAGATTTAATGTTACGAAGCATACATGTGCTGATATGTCAACCTTTGGTCGTAATACGATACTATGAGCCCTTTGTCCAGAAACATCTGGTAATTGATGGGCACGTCCACTTTTCTTTACGAGCCATGAAAGTGCTTCTCCACTCCAAGGACCCATGGCTATAATAACTGTATCTACGGGAATTATTTCATTTGTTGATAAACGAACACCTGATACTTTAAGTTTATCAAATTCAAGACCTATAACATTCGCGATCTTAACTTTGGCACCTCTTAACTCTGCTTCTTCAATTAATGTTTTAGTAAATTTATAAGGATGAAGTTGTGCAGTTGTTTGCGTCGTACCAATACTTTTGAATTTAGTTACCACTCCAGGTCTTAACCAAACTGTCGGAGGTGGTTTTACGCTTGCAGCTTTTGTAGAAGCTGTTATCGCTAATGTATCCACAACACGATAATCATATCTTATTTTCCCATTTAACCTTTCGGCTAGTTCAGCATGTAAATCGAAACTTTTTCTCGCGAGATCTTCTAAAGGACCTCCGTCACACCAATCATAAGTAAGAAAACCTCTTCACGCGATATTTTTTAATCGAAGACAAGCATACATATATATATATTTTTAGTACAATTAATGTTTATCGTTAGAAACGTAATAAAACATTAAGGTGAACATATAAGTTTTTTTTTTTAAAAAAAAAAAAGGAATTGTATATCAAGGACCAAAATTTACCCAGCTTTACCCGAAGCTGCGCATGCGATCGCGGTCTTTTCAACAACTGTAACTTTTAGGTTTGGATCCGTGTTGAGTAGAGTTATGTGATACGCGATTGAGCAACCAACAACCCCACCACCGAGAATAGCAATATGACGTGTTTTTTCTTCCATTTCTAACTTCAAAATAATAAACTTTTCAACGGATCAGATATGTTATGTAACTCGTGTTCATTTACCTAAAATCATCGTGTATTTTGTGCAATGGAACAGTTATAGAATACTCCAAAATAATCACATGATACAAGTATTATGTATAATACAAAATCAATAAAAATCAGAGACATGTAAAGTATACTTTTGAATGTTTAATAATTATAAAATTTAAGGAACAAGAAACACAAATAAAATTAATCATTTGTAATTATTATTATTATTATTATTATTATTATTATCATCATTATTATATTATTATTATTATTATTATTATTATTTTATTATTGGTCAATTTACTTTATTTATTAAATATCTAATTTCAAATTTGTGTCCATTGTTTTTGCATTCATTTTTTTATATTAAATTACTTTTAATAAATTATTTTTTTCTGTAAAGACTACGTTTAATAACTTTGGCTATTACTTGTGTGTCTGGAACACTCAAGCTTTCTAAATTGGCAGTATAAGGTGTGGGAACATCTTTATATATATATATATATATATAAAATAATTAATTTTTTAGTTGAAATTATATAAATTCTCATTACAAATAATATTTCAAAATTTTATTACCTGCACTTGTCACCCTTTCTACTGGTGCATCTAAATAATCAAAAATTTCTGTTTCCATCGCCAAAGCGCATATTTCACTACCAACACCAAATTGAGGGAATGCAGTTTCAACAGATACTAAGTGATTTGTTTTCTTGACAGAATTAACAATCGTGTCAACATCCAATGGTTTAATTGATCTTAAATTAATGACTTCAACAGAAATTCCTTCTTCATCTTGTAATTTTTCAGCGGCCTCAATACAAAAATTAAGTGTTCTTGAATGAGAAACAACAGTTATATCATTTCCTTCCCTTATAATTTTTGCCTTACCAATTGGTAATAAGAAATCAGATGACATAAATTCCTGAGATACTGGATATGATACACCGTACTGAAGTTCATTCTCTAACACGATAACAGGATTAGGATCCCGAATTGCAGCCTTACAATTAACATAACAATAGAAAATCGTAAAGAAATGAAATTTAATTAATTTATATATATATAAAAGAATGAGTATTATACCTTTAATAATCCTTTAGCATCTTCACTGTCCCAAGGAGAAACAACCTTTAAACCTGGAATAGAACCATACCATGCTGCAAAGTCTTGAGAATGTTGAGCAGCTACACCAATTGCTAAACCGTTAGGCCCTCTAAAAACTATTGGACAGTTCACACCACCTGTCATATAGCTAACTTTGGCAGCAGAATTAACCACCTGATCAATAGCCTTTTTTTTTAAAAATGAAAAAAATTAATTAATTGGTTTAATGTAAGAAAGGAAAAAAAAAAAAAAAGAGGAGATTAATATAATGTAATAATATAAATGACATACTTGCATCGAAAAATTAAAAGTCATAAATTCACATATTGGCCTTAAACCGGCTAATGCTGCACCAATAGCTAAACCAGCAAAACCAGCTTCTGTTATAGGTGTATCGATAATACGTTTCGGACCAAATTTATCAAGAAGACCTTTTGATACCTAATAAAGAAAACATCTTTGATAAAAATTATTTCGCCACAATCAAAATATCTAAACAAATAATTAAAAATTTTTAGATCAGAAATTAAAAACGTACTTTATATGCACCATTATATTGAGCAACTTCTTCGCCGAGTAGAAAAACGCGTTCGTCACGAGTTAATTCTTCATCAAGTGCTTCATTTAAGGCATCTCTTACAGTCACCTTGTATGGAAATAAAGTAAACAGAATGAATAATTAATTATTATCCAACGGCGAGGACATTTTCTCAGTGGGATAGAATTCCGTGTTTCTATTTTAATTAGCATTAATAATTTGTCACCCTTTAATTATATGTTATGTGTCGTCAAGAAAATATAAACATGCCGACGTTAAATTGGTGGAATTTAACTGAAAGGTTTTCAATAGAATCAAGTAATCGAAAAGGGAAGACTAAATAATTATTTGAAATTCTAAACTTACTGTTTGTTCATTTGTGGTGGCAAGAAATTTTTTATGCATAAAAGTACCAATGCAAGGAATGCAAGGTAATGCCTTTCTTTTACCAACATTTCCCAATACTTTCAAAGTAGAGGTATTAACAAAATTTCGTAATAATGAACCATTCATACTTTGAATTCAACGAATTTTAATGAATTCAATCAAAGATAATAATAATAAAAAAAAACTTTCAACAATTAATAAAAAGGGTCCGAATTTAGGAATGAATATCTTATTAATTTTTAAAAAGAACCATTCAAAATGTATTTTTATATTAGTGATTCATTGAAATATTATAACTACAATTCGGATTCGACTGTGTTAAAATTCAACCTTTTAAATTTAATAAATTTAATACAATAATGTCTTGTGAGTATAAATATCAAATTAAATAAATATTGGTTTGAAAAATTTATTCCCATAAAATTCATGAGGAAGAAGGGATCAGTTAGTGAATTATAGAAATAACAATAAATTGACTGATTATAATAAGCGATATCTTATTTTAATAATTTAGTTCTCTCAGCGGAACGCGCAGTTGCAATAGCAGCAGTTTTACAAGCGAGTAGAGTTTGTCAAAAAGTTTTTCAGAAACTTGTAACCATTGAAGCCTATACGAAAAGTGATAAATCTCCAGTAACAGGTATTATATTTTATTTTATTTTCAATATCTAAATATTTTAATTCTATCAATATTTATATAAATTTATAATATAATTCGATTTTCCTTGAAAAAAAGTCGCAGATTTTAGTTCCCAAGCAATCATATCTACGTTTTTGCATAAGAATTTTCCAAATGATCCTATCGTTGGAGAAGAAGATTCTGATGCATTGCATGGGGAAAGTGGTAAAGCGTTGAGAGATAAAGTTTTATCCTCAACTAATTCTGTATTGGATGAACCATTAGACGAACAGAAGGTAATTATTGTTATTATTACATAATTGGTTTTTACCATAATCTCTATTAATCTTGCTTTGTTTATTAAACACAAAGTTGTTTGAAACCTTAGATAGAGGATCATATTCTGGTGGTGCTAAAGGAAGTTAGTAATCTTTAAATAATCTTTAAATAATTTTCTCTAAATGATTTAATTTCATTTTTACTATGTTTTGAAATAATAATAATATAATAATAATAATAATAATAATAATAATAATAATAATAATAATAATAATAAAGGAATTTGGACTATTGATCCAGTTGATGGGACCAAAGGATTTCTTCGTGGAGGACAATATGCAGTATGTTTAGGTCTTATCATTGATGGTCACGTTCAACTTGGAGTTACGGGATGTCCAAATCTACCTGTAGATTTTAAAGAGCCAACAGGAGAAAAAGGATGTTTGTTCGTTGCTGTTCGAGGACAAGGCGCTTTTCAGGTAGTTCACCAGATAATTTTATTGTTAATATCAATTTCATTATTTATTCATTATTATTCATTATTATTATTCATTATTATTATTAATTATTATTATTAATTATTATTATTCTTTATTATTATTCATTATTACTGTATTTACATATAAATAATGCTAAAACTTTTTTCACTAATATTTACAGGTGAATTTTTCATCTTTAGTAGAGAAACAAATAAGTTTGGCGGAGGTTTCGTCAGTATCCGATGCAACATTTTGTGAATCTGTCGAGGAAGCCCATTCCTCACATGGGGAAGCAGCACAAATAGCGTCATTATTAGGTATCACTAAACCATCTATTCGTATGGATAGTCAATGTAAATATTGTTCTATTGCCAGAGGTGACACGGATATACTTCTTCGGTTACCAGTCATTAGTGATTATGAAGAAAAAATTTGGGTAATTATTTTAATTTATTTTTCATTTAATTGTTTAAAAATATTTCCTTTCTATTTTAAATAAATAATAATGAATTAATAAATAACAATATAGGATCATGCATCAGGAAGTTTATTAATTCATGAAGCTGGAGGTGTGGTATCTGATATTAATGGAAAACCTTTGGATTTTTCATTAGGCAGAACTTTAAAGAATAACAAAGGAGTGGTGGTAGCTCATTCTAATATACATTCTCAAGTTATTAAAGCAGTTCAACAAGTTTTATTCTCAAAATGAATGAATGAGAAAATTAATTTATTTGATATTTTAATTTCTTTATATTAATATTAATTAAATAATACATAAAAGAAATTCTTTCATAAATTAGAGAATTTAATATATACAATTAATAAATCTTATCTTCGATGCAAAGCAAATGCTTCCGTAATAGTTGTTCCCTTAAGTAATTCTTCACGAACATTGTTATCCATTTCCACATGCTTTTTGCATGATTCCAGTACATTGTCCAAAAGTTGTAAAGGAATACAAACAGCTCCATCCAAATCTGCAATAATCACATCATTAGGATTAATTATAATTGGTGGATTATAATTTCCATTAAGTGTGACTGGTTGATTAAGAGTTGATGGACGTGTATATGCTTTGGATGAAAGTACTGACGTTGATTTTGCAAATACCTTTTTTTTTTTAAAAAAAAAAAAAAAATTATTATTATATCAACGTTAATTTATATAACAAAATTTGTGGATCTTTATAAATGGAAATTATAAATACAGGAAGTCTATCAGCTCGAAGTTCCCCAAGATCACGAACACGACCATCTACAATAACTCCTTTGACACCACGTTCTTTGGCTCTCGTATTCATCAAACCTCCCCAAACAGCATTTATTGAATCTTAAAAAAAAATCCAGATTAGTAAAATATAAGGTTCCATATTATTGTTGTTGTAATTAAAGAAAAATCTACAAACTTGGTGGAGCTGATACAAAAACCACGCTACCCTCAGGGGCTGCATCAGCCTATAATTAATTAAATATCAATTAAGATAAATGGGATATCGGAATCATATATATATACATGGGAATCGTCTATCTATAAAAATCTATAAAGGACTTACAAAATGTTGAGCTGGTTTTGGAGAAGTAGTGTCAGAAATCGGAACAACCTATTTAAATATTGGTTACAGGATATAACCAATTTTTGCAAATGAAAATCACTTTATTTATTCAAAAAAAAAATAAATAAATAAAAATTTACTTTAACAGTAAACACTGGGCCAACAAGTTTAGTAGGACCAGCTTGTTGTTCTGGAGAAAACATGATTATATCAGGTAGATAACCTCCATGAGGATGATTCAGTTTTAAGAGCGCGTCAGCGACCTGCGAACAAAATTAAGACTTTAAACCCATTTAAGATAAACAAAAATATAAAAAATGTACAAATGCGTAGTAAAGAACGTAAAGAACGCGACATACATCACAACTCGAGTAAATATAAAGAAGTTCAAGTTTTTCTTTGCTAATGGTTGCTTCGTTCATATTAACCTGTCAACTATGATAAGGACGCTCATTTCCTAATATATAGAGTGCGTTAACTCGAAAAACCGAGTATAAATTTCCTTTTTTAGGGGTTGTCTAAAACGGAGTTAATCATGTGATAGTCAAGTGTCAATAAGTCACGTGATAGTTACGTGATAACAAGTGGCGTGATTGAGTTAATAAATAAATTTATATGAGAAAACTTAAACTAGACCCCAGGGTTTAGGTCATTTATTCTAGACCCCGGCTTTCTTAATTTATAAATATCAAAGTTAAATTTTAGTTGTATAATCTATCAAATAAATAATCTTTGTTTATTTTGTTATTATTATTATTTTTATTATTTTTGTTTTGGATATTTTCTTTTGAATCAAATTGTTTCGCGGGGTTAGTTCCTTTTCTTTATTTTCACTGGGTTCATGACTAATTAAA